TGCCTTGGCAGTTTCATGTGGTGAAACAGTTTTTAGATTACTTCTTCCCTTCCCGCAGGAGTTTTCCACAGGCTTTAGTTAAGAAAATTACACTGTGGTTGATTGGAGGAGGCACATACATCTTTAAACATAATTTGCCAATGATATTTTCATGGGTTTTTTTATTGTGTATTCTCATGTTCTGAATATTCAGTTCCTTTTCACGCATGCGTTCTAATGGGGAAACTGCTCTCCAGACTTGCTGGTCACTGTGTCTTTGATGGACAGCTGGATCTTACAGGCAAGTCAGAGTCAAGATAAGGTCAGTGTTTCTTGCGCCCTTTACTTCCCAATGTTTTTATGTGAGAGGGAAGGGTAATCATTTAAGAAGTTTGATTTTTAAAATATTTTAATAAAAAACAAAAAAACCCCTCTCTTCTTATGAAAACATGTCAATGACTTCATAACTAAAGTTGTAATTTACTTTTCATTTCATGAAAAGTCCAATTTGGAGATACCTGAAGCCTCTCACACAACCTTTAAAAAACAGCTTTCTGTCTCAGTTTCTGCATAGGCTGTCTCTGGCTGGATGATCATTTTCTGTGGAACATTTGATGATAATCAGAAAAAGCTTTTGTTTTTTAGGAGAGCTTGGAAAACCAGATTTTTTTCTTTGTAGAAACATCTTATGTGATTTTTTTTGAATGCCATATCTCAAACCTGACTTTGAGCGGACACTCCACACTGTGCTTTATATACATTGTCTGTCTTTCCTGAGGTTTATTACCTTTGAGTGATTTCATGAAAGGTTCTGGGACTGGTTTGGTGGGAACACCTGACAATTCAGAAAAAACAACGAGGAGTCCTTGTGGCACCTTAGAGACTCCTCGTTTTTTTTGCTGATACAGACTAACACAGCTACCACTCTGAAACCTGACAATTCAGAGAGACTTCAACAGGGTTTATAAGCTTCTTGAGAGCTCTTGAAGCATTTATCAGGTCCAAAGCAAAAGCTTTCAGAATCGGCAAACTCCACCACCTAAATCCCTAGCGTTCAAGAAGCTGAAAAGCTTAACATCTCCTGTTGCACATCCTGCAGACTTTGTAATGTCTGGAGCTCAAATAGCCAGTTGAAGGTGCTTACAAATTCTGCTGGCTCAGCATAAGGAGTCTGTTGGCTTTGGCAGCTAAAAAGCGATGTACAAAGAAGTTTAGCAGGTGAACAGCATGACAATTACAAAAACTGCAGGTCAACTGTAGATCAACAATATCTCTCTGTAAACATAGCTCCTGCTTCTAAAGCATTTCACCACTGTGTAGTGACTGCTACAGAGCTTTGGAGTGATCGCTGTGGGGCTAAAAGAGGACGAGTTATCACTTCAGAGTGTAGATGTTCCAGAGTTCTTGCTACGAAACTCTCACAACCTATGCTTACCTTTCCAAAGCTTTATGCAACAGCACTGCTATGGGCCAGACTGCCCCATTGTGCTCACAAAGCTGTGGGAGATGATCATGAAATCTCCCTTGCAGGAGCTCCTGCTAAACATTCATTATAGTGAGAAGTGATTGTGGCCCTGAAAAAGTTCACATGGGGAAAACCTCCCAAGCCAGCTGATCCTGTGAATGCACAGAGAAGAGATCCCAGATCTGCACAAGGAGGAGACATTTTGCACATAGAGCTCATGCCTCCATATTGCTTGGCTGGTTCCCCGCCCTCTGGCAGTATTGCTCCAGTAGGAGCAGTGCTTCCATTGGCCATGACCCTGAAGCTTGTTCAGCAGCAGCTGGGCAAGGGACACAGTAGGTAGCTAACACTGCTTCAAGCAAGTTACCGTAGTGTTTTAATTTGCATCCAGAATGTTGTCTTGCATATTTTGCAAAAATATTCATGTTTATAAAAGTCCTGCCTGTCTCGCCTACGCTGACAGATTGCTGGAGGAGCACCATCATGGCTGCATAACGAGCCTGTTCAAATCCATCTGACTGCCAGTCTGTTAAGAGAGTGGGGAAACACTCCTGTAAAGACCATTAAAGTACAATGGCTAACTAACAGAGAGATACTGCCAAGGAGCAATAGATCCCCTGCAGCACAGAATCATGAAAAGGTTGGGCTGGAAGAGACCTCAAGAGGTCATCTAGTCCAGCCCCCCGCACTGAGGCAGGATCAAGTAAAACTAGATCATACCTGACAGGTGTTTGTCTAACCCGTTCTTAAAACCTCCAGTGGCAGGGGTTCCACAACCTCCTTTGGAAATCTATTCTAGTGCTTAACTATTCTTATAGTTAAGTTTTTTTTCCAATATGTAACATATTTCTTGCTGCAGATTAACCCAGTTACTTCCAGTCCTACCTTCAATGGACATGGAGAACAATTGATCATCCACTTCTATATAACAGCCCATAACAGTCTTCAAATATATTATCAGCCTCCCCCACCCCCCATCCCCAGGTTCTTTTTCCTGGGGCCTAATTCAGGTTTTCTAAACCTTCTAACATTTTTGTTGCTCTCCGCTGGACTCTCTCCAATTTGTCCACCTCTTTCCTACAGTGTCGTGCCAAAACATGGAGACAGTACTCCAGGTGAGGCCTCCAGTGCTGAGTAGAGCAGGACAGTTATATCCCAAGTCTTACACAGGACAATCCTGTTAATATATCCCAGAATATTAGCTGTTTTTGCAACTGCATCACATTCTTGGCTCATATTAAAATTATGATCCACTTTAGCCCCCAGATATTTTTCAGCAGTACTACCACGTAGCCAGTTATTCCCCGTTTTGTAGTTGTGCATTTCTAATTTGATTTATGCATTTGATTTTTCCTTTCTAAGTGTACTACTTTGCATTTGTCTTTATTGAATTTAATCTTGTGGAATCAGAGCAATTCTCCAATTTGTCCAGGTTGTTTTGAATTCTAATCTTGTCCTCCAGTATGCTTGCAACTCCTCCCAGTTTGGTGTCATCCGCAAATTTTATAAGCCTGCTCTCCACTTCATTATGCAAGTCATTAATGAAAATGTTGAAAAGTACTAGACCCTGGACAGACCCCTGTGGCACGCCACTTAAATAAGTCGTTCCAATTTGACAGCAAACCATTGATAACTACTCTGAATATGGTATTTTCAACCAGCACCCCTTTGTCGGAATTTCATCTAGACCATATTTCCATAGTTTGCTTATGAGAATGTCATGTGGGACTGTCAAAAGACTTACTAAAATCAAGATATATTATGTCTTCTGCTTCCCCCCATCCACTATGCCAGTAACTCTGTCAAAGAAGGAAGTTAAGTTGGTTTGGCATAATTTGTTCTTGACAAATCAGTCCATGGTAGCTATTGCTTATTATCTTATTACACTATTAACATAACATAGTCGAAGCTGATTCCCACAGCTGCTCCCTCGCCAGCTTCTTCAAACCAAAAATAAAAAGAAATCCTTTCTGTCTGAAATTTCTCATATGCTGTCTCCTACAAGGAGATGAGATTTTAGGGCAGTTTATGATTTATTGACCAAATTGTTTGGGAAGCTAAAAATGAGTTTTCAGTTGTACAAGTCTTCTAATTTATTTATTTAGATTTCTACTTTTTGTACCACCAGATTCCATCTCAAAACAGGTTGGCCTAGAAATTCCAGTTTTGTTGGACCCATTTATACTGGTGCTTTCAATTACTATTTGGAAAGTTTGGTTTTTCCATTTTCAGTCATTAGTTATAGGATTTTCCCCCCAGCTCTGAGAAATTCACAGGTTACCTAGCAGACTTTATACATTTGGAATATTGCTAACCCCGAGAATTCAATCATAAGTCAGGCCCCCAAAAATCATGACATTGGCTTAAAATCATGAGATTAAAAAACCTCCAATAACATTCTTTTAAAATTTGCTTTCTGGTTTCTGAGCCTTTAGGTTACATTTGGGTCACATTTTCAAGCTTTATTGTACAACCAGGAAAGACAGAAATGTACTTTTTTAAAACAAAAGCTGAGATTCTCCTCTAATCACATGACTCCAGGAGCTGGAGCTTTAGGAAAAGCAGCAGCTATCACTAGATTCATGATAAAAAAATCGCAAGAGTTTGCAACACTGCATTTGTCTGTAGGTAATTGTATAGTGCTCCTCACTAAGCATCTAAGCTCCTCATGTGCCTCAGTGAATTTTATTCTCACACCACCCTGTGAGGCAAGTATTTGTATTCCCATTTCCCAGATGAAGAAGTGAAGAACAGAGACACTGATTCTCCGGTGTCTTCTAACTTGTACAGCCATTTATGCAATGGTAGCCACTTTGCACAAGTATAAATGACTATACAAGGGGCACTGGAGAATCAAGCCTTGTGAGATTAAGGCCAAAATTATCAAAAAGAAGCCTGCAATTCTGAGTGTCTCAGTTTTTAATGCCCACCCTGAGTTATCTACTTCCTGCTATTTTCTTGTCCTTGCTCATTTCTACCACATATAGTTACTTTATAAGCCTACTGAGCCTAGGTGAAAGAGATTTTTTTTTAACTGATGCCCACCATTCAGTCTATACATACACACAGTTATGGGCCTTTACATGCTTAGAATTTATTTTTCCATTCCTCTATAAACAAATTTTCCAATGGTGCTAGGCAAACCCAGAAATAACACTTGAGCAGTTTTAGCTTTTCCTTTACAAACAGATAAAACAATTCCCAGACAAAAGTTTTTGTCAAGTTAGAGTCAATAGATGTCTAAGAATATTGTTATTTCCCAACCTCTGTCCTCCCAGAAAAAACAATGACATAGAGTTAACATTGCAAAGATATTGCCTTAGAAAAGGCACAAAAAATGTTGTGGTTCAAAGTACCCTAAATGTTATAAGTATGAAAGCTGAACATTCCATCACCAGCTCTTGTGCAATGGATCTCCATTACATGTGAGTGGCCTTTGCATTTCATTACAAATTTCTTTAGCCCAATCTCACTGGGAACCACGACAGAGTGGAACAGCCTGTCTATTGCACAGAAAAGGACTGTTTAACTACTGTTTAGGAGGAACACATCTTACCTGTCTGTGCTGTTGAGAGACGGGATACTGCAGTCCTGAGATTTGTTGGCTTTGCTGCATTTTCTGAAGTATCATCTTTTGCTGCAATGCTAAGGATACGTTTGGTGGCCTTTGAAGAGGCTGGTTTTGGAGAGGTTGAGTAGGTTGCTGCTGTTGCTGTTGCACTGCAACAGGGCTCTGCAGCTGCTGAGGATAGTGCAGAATAGAAGGCTTGCTTTGGGATCCCAAAACTGAAGGCATCTGCTGGTTAGTTTGCTCTGAGTTAAAATGACACAAAGGCTTTGTGTTGCCATGATGCTGCTCTAGTGGTGATTGAGTGTTGTTTATAAAGTTTCTATTGAGATCCTGAGGCTTTGGTTGCATTATGATGTCAATGGGGCTGCTCTGGGTTGTGGCATTTGGTTTATAGATGTAGTTATTCATTGCTTTGGACTGATTCCCATTGACAGGTACCCCAGGCATGGCTGAACTTTGGGGGCTGAACTGCTGCTGACGAAAGGAAGGGCTGGGAATTTTCTCTTGTACGAATTGTCCTGGGGAAGGGCCTGATGGGGACAAGGTGGGCCAGCTGGATGGCTGGTTTTGCTGCTGCTGAATCAAGGCATGCTGTTGTCGGTTGGCTGCTATTTGTTTTAGCTGCTGGGCGTGAGATACTTCTTGCCAGTTAGTCAATGGTCGATTTGAGACAGAAGAGACCTGCGACGACTGTGCTTGATTCTGAGGCACCGAAGGGATTGGTGAAGAGGTGGACATGGCAGCGCTGGACATAGTGAAGGCTGGTCCTGTAGAAGAAGGCCTCATTTGAGGGGAACCCACAGGTGCCTGATTCAAGCCTGGCGAATATTCACTCTTTATCACTATTTTCTCCATCTGCAGAGAAGCTCTAGCAGCGCCTCTCTGGTTTTGCTGCCCAAGATCAATGTTAAACGGCTCATCTTGTTTTATGGTGGCGTTGATCATATTTTCTAGTTCAAGGTCACTCATTGGTGGCACCGATATGTTAGTCAGTTCATTAAACAGCTCCTGAAGCTCTGGGTCCATCATCTGTTCCCCTGTATCTTCCCCATATCTGTTAGGGAAAATGTTTTCATGGGACATCTGATCATCCAGGTGTTTGCTGCAAGATATGGTTTCTCCTGGTTCTTTCTTGACCTCTTTCAAAGGCATATTAAATATATGCCCACTAGAGTGGGTATTGTTTGTTAGGTTGCTGGTCTTTCTTTGTGATCCTTGCCCCACAGACAAGGTTCCTGACATTGACTGGCTTTGGCAATTGTTAACATGTCCGCCTTGTCCCATAGAAAGATTATCACCCACTCGTATCCTCTTAATATCAAGGAAAGAGTTATCTGAAATACCATTCGGTCTCTTGTTGTTAACAGGTGATAGATTTACCACCAACTTCCTCTTCAAGGAGCCCTGGAGCTGAAAGAAGTGGGGAGAAAATAAATAATTAATTGACATTCAAGACCCAGTCCAGAGTCAACTCAAAAGCAGGTTGATACTAATTTGATGCTCATAACATGAGATCTTGAAAAATTAATTAACTAATGTTGTGCAATACAGTAGGGATACTCTGGAAATTAGCAGAAATTTGTGATACTAAAATTAATGGAATTGGAATAGATTTCATAAATGTTAAGACTAGCAGGGCTCCTTACGATAACCTAATCTGACCTCCTGTGTCACACTGGGCATAGAATTTCACCCAGTGATTCCAGCATCTACTCCATAAGATTATTCTGACTGGCTGGTGTAGAATCTATGGACTCTCTGAGAGATGTTTTCAAAGGTAAAATGAATAATTAGCCATCCAGCTCCCACTGATTTTTGGCATACCCAGATTTATACCAGCTGAGGAGCTGTCCCCATATAGTCAAATATCTCTGAAATAACACTACTAGGAGAATTTTACCTTGTTCACATACTGAATTTAAGGCAGTGGAGTTATGCCAATTTCAGCTAAAGATCTGGCCCCTGAGATACCTTCTGCTACTGTACTATTTTTTCCAACTATGTACGTTAATTTATTAGGGCAGAATTAAGCCCTAGACATTCATGTTGTGAAATGTCTGCTATAAAATTAAATACAGGCTATGCAACATGCCCCAGCTAACACTGATCTGAGACCCATAACTGTTTCATTTCCTTGCTTTTGAACATTTACGTATATAGTTTTATACACTCACAAACAGTGTGGGCCTGATATTGAAAAATATGCACATACAATTGCACACCTAATGTATGCTCAACTACCACAACTAGGCATGCTTTATCATGTATTTGTGTGTGCAAATTCCCATCTTGCACATATATAAATCAGGTGCATAATTCTGCACACCTTTCCAGTATATAAAAGCTACTAGGCAACTGCATGTTTGAAATTCAGGACAATGTATGCATCCTCCAGTACCTATAAGTAGAATTTCAGAAATACTTTATAACTGACTGTATGCATTCACATTAATGTTAATGCTCTTGTTGTGTATTTTGCTCTTTACACAACCAATGTACTATGAAGGAACCTCCCCGGCACAGTAGGCTCCAAACAACTATATTTATTAAATATACACAATATCCAAGCCTAGCTACATATGCTCTGGCTAGCTTCTGCAGCACAGAACACAGTCATTGTTACTAGAACACTTACAAACTATTTAAAGAAGTACTATACTGGTGGGGGGGAGGTTGCTTTCATTTTTGTCCCTTAACCATAGGTACATTGACCCAGGTGATTTATGATAATATGTCATTTGATGAATGGCCTGGTTTCTACTTTGGTCTAAGAAACCAGGGCCCATGTCAAGGTATGACGTCTTGTGAATATCTGGGGCAGAAACAAAAAATTGGCAATCCCAGGTCTCCGGTAACATACGCCATGTTTTTTTTTGCCAACTATGGTGATTTATGATACCATAAAAATCACATTTATATTATACCCTTTCACATATAGATGGCCTTGAGTTTGTAGAACAGTATTCTGGCCTGTGACCCCTGAATTTAAGGACTTGTCTGGAGTTGTTCCTGATTAGCTGTTCCTTATCAACTCTGAGTGGATACTCTTATTCTGAAATATGTGTCCACCCATGGAATTAATCAGGAACAACTTAATGTGTAGACAAGCCCTTAGATACAGTCGGTGCTTATCCTTTTGTACCATTCAGGTCACTGAGTAATCCCCTCGAAACAGCACGGGGAAGATATAAAAGTCTGTCAACCCCCCTCCTAGCTTAAAAGAACAAACATCATGTTCCAAAGATAGTGGGATGAACTGCTATTTGCAAATCTACAATGTAGTTTTGTTCTTTCATTTTATAGCTGAAGACATGCTGGTGTCTGTTCTATTTTCACCCACATAACTGGGTGCATTCAGTATACTGAGTTTGTATTTTCTCTTTCATGTCACAGTGAGTGAGATTTTTGGGTGGTCATTCACACTACAGAGTGCAGTGACTGTAATCTGGGTAGCATGTTTCTTCGTAACACATGAGTCACTGTACTTTCCTTTGCATAAAACCAGAAAACTACATTTCCTTTCACCATCATCTTTGCTATCATTTTGCTTATTAGAAATAATTCTCAAGTCCCCAAAGTCTTCTTTATGGGAAATGGGGAAGTCCCTAGTCAAAGTACATGTTTTGCTTTCCTACGTTTTGCTGACAGAAGGACTAAATAGATGATGAATAATGTATTCTCTGCATACAAGTGGGTTACTTGGAACTTACGCCTTTCTTGATGAACTTTGCATTTGCACTGACATTTTGAAACATGACTAGCTGTTTAAAATGTCCACATACTTTCAAAACCCTTGGACAATGGGCCTTGATGTGATTAACAATGTTGTTGCTGAACAGCACTATGTGTATCGGATACTTAAAATAATATTTGAATTAACTAATAGACAGATGTAAACAATGCCACATGAGACTACTTCAACAATGGAACTCTATGGACAACTATATACAAGAAACCCATGGATCACCACACCTACCTTCATAGATCCAATAACAACCCCAAACACACCAAGAAACCTGTTATCTACAGCCAGGCACTCAGATACCACAGAATATGCTCCAAGGAGAAAATCTGGAATATACACCTTAATACATTCAAAACTGCCTTTGCCAAACAAGGACACTCTAGAGAAGTAGATTGCATCATTGAATGGGCCACTTCGAGACTGCAGAATACAGAAATAAAACCCCCTCTGATTGCGCACCCTTAGTTGTCACCTATCACCCCAAGTTGGAACCAATATGGGGTATCATCAAACAACTACAGCCTGTACTCAATGGGGACCCCATCTTGAAAGAAGTCTTTCCTGAACCCACTCTTCTGGCCTTCAAACAGCTCCCCAGCCTCTCCAAACTTAGCATGAGAAGCAAGCTACCCCAAACCAGGACACACCAACTCAAAGTGGCACCAGACACCGCCAGATCAACAGATACAAAACGTACAGACATCTCTCCACTGCTACAATGATCAGCACCCCCCACAACACACCTTTCAAGGTCCACAGGACCTAAACATGCCTACACAACATGTGGTATACCTCATCCAGTGCACAAATGCCCCAATAACAATTATGTGGGTGAAACCAGACAATCACTATGCTCTCAAATGAACTCACACAGGAAAATGATAAAAGACAAAAACAACCTAGCACCTGTGGGAGAACAATTTTCACAAAGTGATCACTCTATATGTGACCACTAAGTCCTCATCCTCAAAGGAAACTACTACACCTTCAAAAGACAAGCCTGGGAGCTTAAATTCATAACTTTGCTAGACACTAAAAATCTTGGATTGAACAGACACTGGATTTATGAAAACAACAAGGAGTCTGGTGGCACCGGACTCCTTGTTGTTTTTGTGGCTACAGACTAAACACGGCTACCCCCGATACTTGACTGGATTTATGGTTTATCACAACAATCTATAATCCACTAAAGCCCCCCCGCCAGCTGCTTTTCCCCACCACCTCCCTTCCTTTCCCCCCACTTCACCTTGAATGGGCCCTTGAAATGTGTGTTAACTAGTTATGCTAAACAATCTGTTCCACCTTGTATTTTGCTGTGACACTCTGAAATTGTGAAATGTGAAACTGAGTATGTTTCTCAGACCTCAAATAAAGCTCTGTGTAGCTCGAAATCTTGTCTCTCTCACAAACAGAAGTTGGTCCAATAAAAGCTGTTACCTCATCCACCTTGTCTCTCTAACATCCTGGGACCAACATGGCTATTACAACACTGCATACATGAGACTCCTGCCATAGAAAGAGATGAAGTAACAGGGACACACACAAATCAGTGGTAACACCAGTAATAATATCACCTATCTTTTATATAGCACTTATCACTCATGGATCACAAAGCGCTTTACAAAGGAGGTCAATATCATTATCCCCATTTTACAGATGGGGAAACTGAGGCACAGAAAAGGGACATGATTTGCCCAAGGTCACTGGCAGAGCTGCGATTAGAACCAAGGTGTCCTGACATCCAAGCCAATGACCTGGCCACTAGACCACATTCCTTCTTCTGTAAGCTAATTATGTAATGATACTATAATGTATACTAGGTATAACAATATGAATGTATTGTTCTCTGATACAGCTCATGTTTCCTCATCTGCATCCTGCTAAAATGCTTGCAAAAAGGGCCCATTCCATTTTTTTTTTAATCTTCAAAACATTTTGCAAATATTAATTAATTCATCCCAACAGCAGCTCTGGGAGGTAGGTACATGCTGTTATGCCCATTTTACAGAACAGCAACTGAGACAGAAAGAATAAGGGGCAGATCCTCATGCCCTGCTAGGATAACTCTGCTCCCCAAGAGGTACAAAGGGACCTTCGAACAGCTCAAAAGGGGTTGCAGAGGATTCTCTCTGCTTTATGAGACTGATTTCCCTCCTCTGTTTAGACATGGGGGAGGGGACAGGAAAGGGAAACATACAAAGGGTGGGGCCAAAGCACTCATTCTTGATTGGCTGGTGCAGTCCCATAGGACTAGACCAATCCAAGAGCCATTTTCCATTCTCTCTTCAGCAGTATCAAGTTGTTCTGAAAACTGCAGTCACTTTGCACTGCAAGGGTTTTCACCTCTGTGTTTGGTGATGGGTTGTGTTGTGTTTGGGCGAGTTATAATCTCCCTTATGCAAAGTGCCCCATCAGAAGCTTGAGAAGAACCATGCCTCTATACCAGCCCAGTAAGAGGGACTCAACCAACCAATCTAATCTCATTAGCTATGTTTTTATGTTGGCATCCAACGCTGTAACATCTGAACATTCTGTGCATGCGGGCAGAGAAAGAAGGGATCAGACTTCATCCTGCTTTAAAAAAAAAAAAAAAAAGAAGAAGGCGATGCCTATTGAACATACTCAGAACTAATTTTTCGGTTGCTGATAACTTTTTTTAATTGCA